TGTTTCTGGAACATGGTTATTTTTCCACCTACCTGTCTCAGAGTTCTGATTGCATTGGTTTCTCATCAAAATTCCTTCCTCTCCCATTTCTTCACACTCAAATTTCACCCATGCTTTAAAGCAACAGTCTTATCTTACTTCCACAAGAAGCCTCCCCTGATTGCCAATGACTGAAGCTTACTCTCTGTTTCCTCTCCGGTCCCACAGATTGTTTCTGAACTTCTAGAGAATTTATTGATTTTTATCCTACATTCATATTGCTCCTTAAGGACAGTAGAACTACTATCTCTTATTCCATGTCCTATAATTGGATTCTCTTCCATGAGTTTCACAAACTTCAACCAAGCTTCTTTAATAAACATGTTCGATTTGCCCATAATCTTGAAGTTTCCTGCACTAATAGCACAGAAACTTGCCATTAAGAAGATTATACCCTCATGAAACTATTGATGGAAAGAACTGGAACTAGAGGTATTTCTTTTGCATTCTTCTTACTTTGTTTTTTTAAAAAGACAGCTGATTCATAACCATGTTGCCTTTCATCTCAGTTTTATTCTTAATCCATCTAAACGGACTGGATGGTACTCTTCCATGATTCATAAATGAATAAAAGAATTTAAAACACACAGAAATTATGCCTGTCTTGTCCTTCCTTGAAAGTATCATAGTGACAAACTGCAAGTACTGGGACATTGTCTCCTAATAGGCTACGTCTGTCTGTGTGCCCATTGGAATGCATACTTGAACTGTCTAATCCTTCTCCATTATCCATTAGCCCAGCATACATATTCTGGGATGAAACTCAAAGTCAATGACTGTTTATCATCATTAGCTCCTCCAAGCAATGATTTACATGCAAGTGCAGATACTGTTCATCACAGCTTCTCTAGTCCATCAGCATCCAGGTTTCCCCTAGAGCATCCTTAGTGATTCCAGCTTGAGAAAACCCATCCCAGATTCCAAATGTGGAGGTCCTTGAGCAGTAGCTGCATAGACTAAATATTCTAAGTTCATGAAGTTCCCCCAGGGAGCATACCTCTGTAATAAAAACAAAACATGCAAATATGCATAGTCGTGTCAACACCACCTACCCCTTTTTTAATAGCAGTAAGTATGTGATTTGAAGTCAGTTCACCACTGGGGATGGGGTAGAGGTGAGTCTCTTAGTAGTTAACAGAGTCTTGGTAGTCATTTAGAAAATGGCTGCCAGAATGTTCTTGGCTCACTTGATGAAAAAATTATCCTTTCTCTGGAGCCACATGGATGGTTTTATGTGATAACTAAGAGAGAAGACCATCCAGCAGATTAGAACAGGGACCTGGAAGACAAATCTCTCAGCTCTCACTTTGGCAATGCTAACTATTTGTTGGGTTGATCTTTGAGAAGTATCTGCTCTAATGTTTCAGGTTATCATTTTCCTCCTAAAAAAATATGGGGAGAGCACAAAGGCTAATGTTTTCTGATTTCTTAAAAAGACATTTCAATCACAAAATAAATGATTGGGCTCTCATAAAATCTGAAGATCAACTTAAATAAAAGATTTTATCATTTTTTTAGACTTGTGATGCCATGTGTGCCCCAAAGGGACTTTTGACAACTGGGGAAGAATCATGCCTCTGTTTAAAGAGCAAAAACAAACACAAGCAAACAAAACGATTAACTTTCTCAATGATCCCTATATTTTAAAAGCCTGTGAATCTGTACTTTGAAGTTAAATTTGGGAATCACATAGGCAATGGAACTCATTTTTTTCACATAATTTTTCCTCTTCTTGTTTAAAAATCATCAAATGCAGAAATGCAATGTGCATTTTGCATATGTTTACTCATATATACTTCAAAGTGAAGTTTATAAACTCATAAAAAAGTCCAGACTCATGTGAAAATCTTCATGATACTTGCTTTCACTTCCGCTCTCTCATCTGGTCTTACTCTCGTGACAGCCCTGTTATCAAAACCTGATGTCAGGCTGTGATGTCATTTGTTTATATTCTCATGCAAATTTTAAAAACTCGATTCACTTTTCTACTACCTTATATGTCAAGTCTAAACTTAAATTTGGAACATTTGCCTCATGTGAAAGAATTTAGAACACCAGTTGGTAGGTGAGAAATTCTTGGGGGTGAGAGTTGAGAAGAGGAAGCAAGACACCTTCTCCCGAGTCTCAGAAATCTTACTTCTAGAATATTGATTCTATTCAGTAACAGTCTACCTAGACTAAGGGAAACCCCACAGGCTCACAATATACTTATGCTTGTTTTATAGTGCTAGGTCGAGTACCTATTGAAACAATAATTATTAAATTTGATAAAGAAAAACCATTTCTACCCAATTATAAGTTTCCAGTGGTATCTTAGAACTTTGATTTCCTTTTTTTCCCCAGTATTTGTAGGTAACAGGAAGGACATAGTAGTAATAAAATAGCCAGGACACTAGCACCCTTAAAGCCACCTTTAGTGTTCCCTTTCCCTGATTCCTCTTATATTTTACCTCAATTTCCCCTGAGTGAATAGTCTGTGTGGAGACAGGGTTTATCTTCTTTACATTCAGATGGTTGCATTTCCTGCTTAAAATGTCAGCTGGATTGTCTCTGCACCCTGCCTCCCCCTCCATCTTTTGGTCTCCCAGAAGCTGTCTGCTGCTTCAGGCAAACTTAATGATGGCAGGGCCGCAGAGCCAAAAAAGGAAAAACACCTGTGGCCAGTCTAAAGTTTAGTCCTGAAATAGACAGGCAATGGCCATCACCTGCCTGCTGTGTGCGAGCCCAATCAAGTCTATTCATCACAACTCACAACTGTGCCGATAAGGGTTTTTTTTTCCCACCCCCTCCCTTTTTTTTTTTTTTTTTTTTTTTGGGCTGTTGTTTTTGTTGAACTGAGTATGATAGGAAGAGAACAGAATATAGCAAAGGCATGGTGCCCTCTGCCTGGCCCCGAGAGGCTGCTACTTACACACATCCCGGGAAAGTCATCATTCTGAAGAAGTGGCTCCTAGGACCTACTCATTCCAGATGACCAACTTGGACTTTTTCTCCCCCCCCCCCCACCACACACACACATTTTCTTTTGTGATATTTTCTTTGACTTTCCCGAGGAAAGGATGAAGGGAAAAGAATGAGGGCTAGTGACTGCTAACTTCAAGGAGGAGCTTATATGCGTCAGGTCATGTTGCTAATTACTGTCTGGATAAGAGAGAGCAAGCAGGTCTAGAGAAGACCATGCAGAGCAGCTGAGTTTACTGTGGTAAAGGGCAGCTAGTGTTTGCTTGGGTGGAGAGGATGAGGCCATGGCTTGTGCATGCCAAAGAAACCCTGTTTGGAAGGTGAGGGTACCTACTTGGTGAGGGTACCTGGTGAGGGTACCTACTTGTCATGGGAAAAAACAAGAGAAGATGAAAGATCACTTGCTGTGGACACTGGGACAAAAGTGTACAACTCTGTCCCTCTCTCTCTCTAATTCTTGTTAATTTTTATTCTGAGCCTTGCTAAATACTCACATCCCTTGACTTCTAGGACTTCAATCTCTCTTGATTTTAGCCCCCATCTCCTTGGCTGGTTCTTACCCATTTCTTTTGCAAACTCCATCTCCTGTGCTCATCCTAAATGGTGTTGCTACCAGGTCTAAGTCACTTGCTTTCTGTACATTTTCCGTGGGAGATTTCTATTTTTTCCCCACCACAAAGCTGTAGGTTACATCCATATCTTCATAACTCCTCAGCTCTTTATCTAAGAGGTCTCTCCTCAGCTACTCCCCAATTCACAGAGGGGCAACTTGCCACAGTGCTGGCAATGGGACAAGCTGACAGCTATTGGGATATCTTCATGTTTAGCATTTCTGATAGAAGTGCCAAATCATATCCTTTCTTTTCCTCTGTAGAGAATGACATGAGACTGGAAGAGAAAAAAGTATCTACCTTGTAAACAAGAGTTATGAGGATGAAAGTTACCTGCTGAAATTGGAATAACAGAATGATAGATGGAGTCTGGGACTTTATTGATGTCACGAAATTACTGTATAGATGTGGGTGGCCTGCTCTAGACTTCATATATTATGAAAAAATGTCTCTCTTTTGGTATAATGTTGTTATACAGATAGAATTATGTGTACAGTTGCATATAATTTCATACCATAAATAAGAGAATGCCTGTTTAAATGAGACATTTGTATTTAACACAGAGGGAATGTTCACAGACTGATCATGCATTTTGGCATGAAGGAAATCTCAACCTAGTCAAAAAACCAAAAATTCTTGGACAATATTTATTTACTATCATTTAACAAAATCAGAAATTTATTACAGTCAGCAAGCAACTCCCACCACTATCATCACATCCACCTTTCACCATCCAAATATGTTCAACTGGAAATTGAAATTTAACATTTTAGCATCTAAGAATTTGAGTTAAAGAAAAAAATAAGGGCCTCCCTGGTGGCGCAGTGGTTGAGTGCTGGGTTGCTAAGCTGCCCTCAGCCTCTGCAGCGCCGGTTTGATCCCCGGCCACCGAGTGAGGCTCCCATGTGGTGTGTAGACCTCTCCTGCCACCCGCTGCTCCCCTCAGCAGTGTACTTCCTCAGTCTGCCTGTTCTGCTCCCTGCTCTGGCTCTGGTGAATTCTCTCACCCTCCCGCACTTCTGACTGTACCCAGTGCTTGTATAAATAAATAAATAAATAAATCTTTTTTAAAAAAAAAGAAAAAAGAAAAAAAGAAAAGTAAAAACAGTTCAACAAAAAAAAATTGAAATTCTACTTGTAAGGAAGAGTTTCCTATCTTAATATCTATCATTCCATTTTTATCTATGTGGACCCATGAATTCTCATTTTATTCAATAGGATATAATATGTTATCATCATTATTTATTTTGGCCTCAAAACTGTTCCACATTTGGCCAGTGAGAATCCCTCCAGGATTCTCTATTTGATGTGACTTTATCATTTTTTGAACACTTCTTTATTTTCTGACCCAAGATATCCCAGACTTAGTTTACATTATCCATGCCCTAGATCTGGAGCCAGACGTTTTTCCAGGAGTGTGTGTTTCTCCAGTGAGGAGTGTCACTTAGAAGCTAAGCACAGGGATGCTCAGCACTCCAGGATGTCGCTGCTTGGAGAACCTTCCAGAGGACAGGTATTGTCTTCTCACTTTGTGACTCCTCTTTGCTGGTGAGAATGCTGGCTCTCTTTCTCCATAACATATTTACTAATTTTCTTAAACTTAAGAAATCATTTTCATAGTTTCAGAGTTAACCTTTATTTCTGTGAAAAATGAAACTATTAACTAGAGTTCTGTATTTGTTTATTGATCCACACTCTTCAGAAATATCTGGTTCATTAAAGATAAAGAAAGGCTAATAAAATTTTCCAGACTAAAAGTTTTTAAGAAACTTGACAACTGAATGAAATGAGTAATGTTGCTCTACCTCCTGGATCAGAAGAAAAAGAATATTTGAATAATTAATGTTAATTTAAAATGGTCTTTAGATTAGATTATATCATTAGGTTAATGCTATATTCCAAGATTTGAAAATTCAGTTGTGATTATGTATGAAGCACTTAAGGATGTAGGGCCTTGATGTCAGAATTTATTCTCAAATCATTCAGAAAACTATATGTATGTGTGTGTATGTATACATGCATGCATACACATACACTCAAAGACATGCATTTATTTACTTATGGATACATATGGATAGTGACCAATAAAGGAAATCATACAAGAAGTTAACAATTGGCAAATCTGGATAAAAGGTATAGTGCAATTATTTGTACTACTTTTGTGACTTTTCTGTGAGTTAAATTTTACGAAAAATGAAGTTCTAGAAAAAAGAAAACAGAATCAGTGACACTGTGTATTCTATATATTAAGCAGCAATATGCTATGAGAGGAATGCCCAAGGGAAATTTATGACTTCAGAAGCATGTATTAGATTAGGGAAAGGATGAACATAACTGAGCTAAATAACAGTAAAATAACTAGAAAAATATAAAAAATATTCCAAAAAGTACAAGATAAAACATAGAAGCAGAAATTAAAGAAATAAGAAAGGAACACTGACAAAAACAGAAAGCAAATTATAAGTGTTAATCAGTAAAATGAAAAGCTTGTTCTCTATAGAGATCAATGAAATAGACATTATCGGCATGTCTGGATCAAAAGAAAAACTACCTAACATCAATGTTAGTGGGTGCAACTGTAGATGCAGAAATATAATTTGAAAACTTAGATGAAATGGATGACATAATAGGAAAATATTGATGTCCAAACTTTACTCAAAAAAATAAGAAAATTTTGAATAGTATCAGCACACACACATAATAAAAATTAATCCAGGAGTTCTTTCAAGACTAATTCCAATGAGAAGGAGAGACTAACTCCAATGAGAAAACACAACATTGAAAAATATCAGTTATTCTCAATATAATCATAAATTTCATTGCATCTCGATCAAAACCCAATTATGATTTTTCATGTAACTTGAGAATCTGATCTTAAAATCATATGGAAGAAAAATATACAAGATGACCAAGATTTCTTGGAAAGTAGGAAATATTGAAAACTCCCATATTTCCAAATATTTTGCAATATTATAAAATTGTGACTATTGAGATGTAGTATAGCATCAGTGCACAGAAACTATTGGTGAGAGGAAAAATAATAGAAAAATCTAAACACAGAACTGTAACTACATTAAATTGATGTATGTTTTGTATGCAGTGTAAAAGGATGACTTTATGCCAATCAACTGTGTTAGGAAAATGTAAAATAATCTTAGACACTTCTTACCATTTATATAAATGAAATAAAATCCCAAATAGATTAATTTAAAGGACTAACTTTACTAAAACATTTCAAACCTATTCAAGGATCTGCTGGATTCAGATGTTTGAAGACTTATAATAGGAGAGGTCTTCTTCAGCAACACACTCATTGAAAATGACATTGTGAGAAAAAGCGATATATTCTATATTTGCAGAAAATAAATCAGTAAGACACATGATACAAAAAAACTAAAACATTACAAGACAGATTGGAGATAATATGTTTTCACTGATTATAACTGAAAAAGATTAAAAACGGAATATATTCTAAAGCTTTTCAAAATTACCAAGAAAGCAACAATCAACTTAACTGAAACATGGGCAAAGAATGTAAAGATATCCTTCACAGCATAGGAAATACACATAGATTACAAAGACTTAAAAGATGTTTAGCATCATTCAGTGCCAGGGAAATGCAAAAGGAGACTGACAAAAGCCACAAAGCTTGATGCTCTTGAGGGCTGTGAGATATGAGAAATGGGTATTTTTAAATACGACTGCTGTTAAATCAAGTTATCCAGCCACTTCGGCAGGATATTTCTGAATCCTTTAAAATGAAATAAATAAGTGAATTTTCTTTGACCAAGGAATCCACTTCTCATTATCTACTCTTGGGAAGCACATGTATGTGTACCTAAAGACACACGTGTGGCACTGTCTACCCAGCAGGGATGTGATAGCAGGGAAATTTAGGGAAAAGAGACCATCCGAATGAAAAGGAAAAAATATATAATCACACAATGGAATCTTATGTGTAATTTAGACTGAATGTGGTTAATTTATGAAAGGATTGTCAGGACATATTGTAGAGTGACAATAGCAAGCTACAGAAGAATAAATATGGCATTCTATCATTTTAAAAAAGAACTCACGCACAATAAAACCATATCCAACTAAATATCACTCTGTGTACATGCACAGAAGAAAGCTTATACCAAACTGACTTAATGAATCAAAAACATCTTTGGCATCCTCAGGGAAGATACAGGAACAGAAAAGATGTTTTAAAGGTGGCAAAACTTCATCAGTATTGCTTACACTTTTTAACATATGTTCAAATGGCACTGTTGTAATAGAATTTTTTTTGTCAATTTTTGAAAAGAAAAACAAATGGATGTTATTTGTTCTGCAGCCGTAACTAACCATGTCTATTATAACCACATAAATTGGCTAAAGATTTCAAAGTCATTGCCTCTGGTGAATTATAACACAACTATTGTCATATCTGTAACTACACATATACACATACAATGTGTATGTGGCTATTTGAAAACAGATGTTTAAAATAATCATGTATATTTAATTTTATATAATATTTATATTCCTAAAGCATCGAATTAACATGGTCCGCCTGAATTGAACATATCTTCAACACACTAACGATAGTTGTTTTAAAAGCTATTATATGATCAGTTACTTTTGAAGTGAATAAATACTACAAAAAATGCTTCACTTATAAATCTGAATGTCATGCATCAACTTTACATAATAGAAAATAACCCTGCAGGTAGCTGCTAACCCTGTTTGTATCTTTCAGATAAAATATAGCTAGCTTATACCAATTATTTTTACTATTTTCTCAGACAAGTTTATTTTTCTAGAAAGCACTGTCAGAATGCAACCCTATTATTTAAATACCAAATATCCTCCATAGAAAATCTTTCTGTATCATCAAAGTCTCCTTGGAAAACTGTGTTTGGGGGCAATTGCTGTATTGCTGTATTAGTTTTCATATTTTAATTTTCTTGCCAAATATTTAAATATATTTGATAACTACCAATGCAAGCTAAAGGATTTTTAGAATGTGTTCAAGGGGATTATATTAGAGACCTCAGTGTAACTTGCCAATCTGGAGGGGTTTCCAAGGCTAAATGAGTTCTTAGCAGGTTTATAAGAAAACCTTTTGGAAATATTTTGTGAGTTTATTTGTTAATCAGCAAATCAGATTTCCACAGTATTGCCCTCAGTGAATAATTAACTATTTTCATGACAGTAATGCTTAGTTAAGAATGATAAATTTTAATTATAGATTTTTATTGTTTTTCTTTTAAAAAGAAAAGATCTGTGATTGTAAAATAGGCCTTAAAGTAAAAGGTCACCAGATTTTATTCTTTTGAGTATACAGGCCTTTGCCTATCAATAGCCAAATCTCCTGAGACATTAATGTCTCAAGTCATATATATTTGCTATAGTGTGCTTCTTATTCATCATATTCTCCTTTTAAACATCATTCTTTATCTCTCTGAAATCTGCCGATAATCATTTCCCCAGATAACCATTTCCAAAGCTGTGGTTCATGCTCTAAACCTTTCTCAGGGATTAGGAAAAAATCACCAAAGTTACCTGGAATAAAAATCTACACCCAAAAGCAATTTTTATAATCTGCTGTAAATGTTTTTATTATTATTTGAAAGCAAAAATTACAGAGAAGGAACAATACAAAGGAAGAAAAATAGGTAGAAAGGTTAAATTTGTCTTAACACATGATCAAGAACTGTTTCGAACACTCACTGGGAATTGGTGAAATACTTTGTGTTTCATTTAATCATGAAGACAGTCAACATTTATCTCTTATACTTGTTTAGCAAAGTACAAAAGAAAACTTACTTACCCACTGATTTCCCTTCACAGCTCAGGGAAAATCAAGTAAAACACCTCATAATCAAACAGCAAGAAAATGTGCACACAAAATTAACACTCAAAAGGTACCAAATGGAAAATCGAAGTGCCCCAACATTCCATATTCAAAAGACAATAAATGGGGCCTCCATGTGGCCTAAGGGTTGAGTCTCAGTGCTATCATCGCTGCAGTTTAAGTTTGATCCCCAGCCAGGGAGCTAACACACATATGGTGCAGCAGACCTCTCCTGTCTTGCCCATTGCTCCCCTCAATAGTGTATTTCAGTAAATCAGCCTGTTCTCCCCACTCTGTCTCTGGTGAATCCTCTCACCCCCCTGTACCTCTGGCCTACACCCCAGTTCTGCTATGTGCAAAAACAAATAAAATATTTTTAAAAAAACAACAGTTGGGGGGGTTGAGAAAAAAAGACAACAAATGCAAATAGTCTAATCTAGACATCTTTTGAAGATAAAGCTAGGGATAGACAGCTAGATAATTTGTGTATAGTTCCTTCCAATTTATCTTTAGCTCTTTAAGATTCACTGTGAGAGAACTTAAGCAGGGGAAAAGATGATTTTTAAAAGCTGAGAAGAAGCAGATTAGGTCAGGAGATAGCACATTCTAGGCAAATAGAACAATCTAACAAAAGGATTTCTTGGAATTAGTTGTTTGACCAATCTGGAAATAGA